ATAAAGGTATTGATTTCGACTGAGATCATGAAGAATGGATTTTCTGTTATACCATTGTTGATGGTAATTCTTATCCTGAAACGAATTGGCATGCATCTCACTACGGCTAATCTTTCTATCACATTGGCTAACTTTTGTTTCTATTACAATGACTAATGTTTCAATCACAAAGGCTAATTTTTCTATCACAAGAGCTAATGTTTCTATCAATATAGCTAATGTTTCCATCACAACGGCTAATGCCTATCCCACCACGGCTAATATTGATCTATCTGACCACGTCCACAGCTACCATGACTATTCCTGGTTCTGGATCCCAATCGTCGGCCCTCACATCGGCGCCATCCTCGGGGGTGCCGTGTATGAGCTCTGCATCAACCAATCCCTTCCCGGGGTGGACTTCAGTGCCTTCTTCAGGCGCCTTGGTTGGCTCGCCCCACAAGTAGAGCCGCCTTTGCCGGACAGGAGCGTCACCAATATGGCCGTGTACACCGTTAGTCCTTCAGAGATAGTCGGTAAGTAAAGCTATGAGAAGAGCCTTTTTTTGCGTACTTTTTTTTAGAGAATACATTATTTTAACCTATGATTTTTAACAATAAAGATAACTGTTGTCACTCAGTGGCGAAGCGCTAGGTTTAGTGCCAACCGGGGCGCACAAAGCTTTTTGTAGCTCCCCCCCCCCTTTCCCACTTTCTACGAACCAGCCCACACGCAAGGATTTTACATCATACCTACTACGCTGGACACGGTGATTCAAGTGCAAGTGGACCTAACATAATATTGTCATAGTCATAAGTCGGTCGAAAAAAAAGGTGACGGTATACCGCTCGGTTGCGCTCTACGACAACAACAAAAAAATCCTGACTATAGTTTTTTTTTTTTTTTTAATAATAATAATAATTATGTTAAAAGAAAATAGTTTTCATGAGTGAATTAATATTCGTGTCCCACACAAGTTGAGAAAGTTAATAAAAACATTTATTTTTTTATAGGATTTTACATCATACCTACTACGCTGGACACGGTGATTCAAGTGCAAGTGGACCTAACATAATATTGTCATAGTCATAAGTCGGTCGAAAAAAAGGTGACGGTATACCGCTCGGTTGCGCTCTACGACAACAACAAAAAAATCCTGACTATAGTTTTTTTTTTTTTTTTTAATAATAATAATAATTATGTTAAAAGAAAATAGTTTTCATGAGTGAATTAATATTCGTGTCCCACACAAGTTGAGAAAGTTAATAAAAACCTTTATTTTTTTACCTCCTACTTCTAGACACTGGCTTTGTTGAAGAGGTCACAACTCCGAAAGGCGATGCACCGTCTTAGCAGGGATGAAAGAAATCCCTCAATCCTAAAGCACATCCCGGAATCTTTAGTGCGTCCACAGGAGTCATCTAACGTCCATCAACACAATCAAACCGCCAGGGGACTCTTCGATGGGGAACAGTCCACGATCCCTTCACAATTAATTAATTGTGACGCTATGCGCTGTACGCTAAGACAATCTGGTCTTCGGCCCGCATGTTGGCTGCTCTGATGCTCGGACTTCTTGTTACCAGAACAGTATTAACATTGGTTTTTTTTGTTGTTTTTTTTTGTTTTTTTTTAAATTTAAAGTTTTATTTCACATTGTACTTTTTATTTTTTTAAAAAGATAAGCATTATGAATGTCTCAAATATGACCATTATCCACAAATGAACCTCTTTCCTTTCCACTACTAGACCCCCCACACAGGAAACTTTTGATTTCATAAGATTTAAAAAAAAAAAATTAGAATTAAGATTATTTTTATGCTAACGGATCAGTGACCTTTATATATATATATATATATATATATTGTTTACTAGTTAGAGAAAATGGTTATGAGAGGGTAAATTGTAAGTTTCAATCGTAATGTGTGCATTTCATGTAATACAGTAGACATGGTGGGTACTANCTCGTCAAAAAAAATAAAGGGAAACAGCCTTTAGCATTTTCCCTTTTATTTCTGCTGCTGTGTCAGGTGATGATAATATGGGAAATAAACTAAACTCACATTATTGTTACTTTTTCTCTCATTTTTTTTTTTTATAAATAGCATTGAGTTACATCTTCAGACCGCTGTTTTAATAAATGAAGATCACTCAAGTTATCGAAAAATAATCTGTTTAAAAGCCTTATAAACAAAATAGAAAAATTAAAACAGTGAAACGTGTCCTTAAAAGCCGCCATTGAAGTACGTCACATTATTTATCAACAATTTTATCCCCCCCCCTTTCCTCCCTGCCGTTGCAATCCATCACAAATTTCCTACCCCCTCCCCCCCTCCCCCCCCCTCCCCGACTTTGGAACTAAAAGAATTGTTTGAAAAATTAACTACTTAATTAATATTTCATATTAGACACACTTCACAATTTAACTTTTGTGAACTGTTCTGTCAAAATACATCTTATCACAACAGAAGGTTTAACATCTCTGTCAATTTCAGGTATTATATGTATGATAAGGTAATGTGTGACGTCACAGAAGATCCATACACCCCCCTGCCCCGTGTCACAAACTGTCATAACTTTCTAAGACATCTCCCCACCCCAAACCACCACTTCGTCGAGCGTGACGTACTTTATGGACGGCCCCTAGCTAAACTATCTTGTCCAAACCTACCTTCTCCTTGAAAATTCTCCGTATTCATAAAACGAAGAATCAAAAGTATATGACTTGTAAAAAATACAGCTACTACTATCGTTACCAGGGCCATATTAAAGAACAACAATGTCTTGTTTCGTACCATTTAAAAGGATAATGTTTTGTATTTTTAAATGCGAATGTCTCAAAAGCATGTTGTGGAGAAATTATGGACCAGAGAACAAGGCATTTATGTACTTAATAAATATATAAAGTTATACGCTCTACATATAGATTTATATCTAGGCATCTTTACCTACAAATAATTATTTCGTTTACTTTATGTGCATGTTTTTGGCTGTTTTGTTGTTTTTCTTTAAAAATGTAAACATCTTGTGAATTTGTGTCATGCATACAAACGATTGTATCATATCAAGAAATCGTGTTCTCTTCAAAATTTCATGCATCATTGTCATTCGATCTAGTTGGATATGTCGAATGACATGCCTGGTTCTAATGTTGCACGTTTGCTGGGCCGCAACTAGAAAGAATACCCAACTCATACCAAACCCCTTAAACTCTTTAGAGAGGACGACGTAATAAAAACAAAAATTTTGTCATCACACATTATATTAAAATTAACTAGACGCTGTCCCCTCAATTTGCATCTGACGCAGAGATCATCTCTCTCAATGAGGATGCCACGACTGCCGGAATCCTTAAGGCCAAGATATTCATTTTAGATCCAATGACATCTCCCTCGTCAAGGGGCTGGACACCAAAGTGAATACTTTTAAATACAAGCCATGTATTTGAATAGGATTCCACAAACTCAGCGCATTGATATTAATCTCATGATTTATTGCGCGATAATTTCTTACATGTTTTGGGAAATGTAATTGAAAAAAAAAAAAAATCGTTTTAATTAAATTTAAAAACAACTTTAAGAAGTGAGTATTCCTGACGTTCGTATATATCTGATACGAATATATTAAACATCCATACATATTTATGTATTTATAGATAGAAACTCTTAGAACTGTTTCGGTTTAAAGATTATCGTAAAAACCAAACGCTACGGGTGGTAGCTTATACAAATGATAAAGGACGACAACCCAATAAATATGAAAGAGCAGTTAAAGAAGGGGGGTGATCTCCCTGGGATATCTTGTCATTGCGTAATTAACTGGTAAAAAAAAAGGGGGGTGGGGTACATTTGAATTTATCAAGCAAACATTTCAAGAGGATACATAAAAACTTTATCAAGTGCATAAAGATGGAGTGACGGAGTACACTATCAAACCCACTAATCAGAGCCGAGTAGCCTCATTTGATGTGATAAGCTGTACCTGGAGGTTTAAATGTTTATCTCAGTCGTTTAATCCTTATTAAACTAAGTATGGTGTGGGAACTCACCGTCTGAAGTTACACACCGAATACAAAGACTAATCAAGAAAGCTAGGGACATAACACGAAATAAACATCCCTCACTTGATGAAAGATGTTATAGTAAAACTAAAAAAAATTTGGATGATTCATCCGACCCCCTTCATCACAGATACTTAAGATCGGCCCGTGCGGGACGAATTCTTTCCATCAGGAACTGAACAATGTAAAAATTATTTTGTTCCCCAATCTGTACGAATTTACCAGCGTGCTCCCCCAGAAGTCAAAAATCTAAATGAGAAGTAATAAGTCCCTGATATGACTAAGAGAGATCACTGAAGGGTTGGGTTTTTTTTTTTTTCCACTAGTGAAATAATTTAATGTAAATGTCTTGTGTTCAAATTGTTTTATTTATGTGCTGAAAATGTACAATGCAATCAAGAAACATTTCCATTTGTTTGGATCAATAAAAGAATCTTATCTTATCTTATCTTACTATCTTATATGACATAAAACCAAAATCTGAAGTTAAATAAATACTGAATCTTGAATTGTATTTCATTTACAAATGCTGATAACCAACACGATCTGGTCCCAGGATTACGTTTAAAAAGATCTTAGCTTAAATAATGTTAATTTCATATCTTGAACAATCAAATCTACACTCACTTAGCGTCTTGCGGCAAAACCGGAGAGGGAAGTGGTGTGGTGAAGTAAGGGGGGGGGGGGCACATCTATTTTAAGATGTGTGGGCTATGTAGAAAAAAAAGAAGAAAGCTGGCGAGCAATGATTCAAATCTGTACAAACATTTTGATGACGTTAAAATAATTTTTTTATTAATTATTTCTGTACTGCAGCCTCTAACAAAAACGCTACACACAAAAAAATATGTTTTTTTAATGAAATCTTTATCTCTACCACGTTAAACCAAATAGATTATTTTAAGGTTTCAGGCGTTAAAATTTTGATTTACTTTGTAACTAATAGAATAACAAATTTAAAAAAAGAAAACTCATTTGAATACAAAGCAGTGCAAAGTTTATTCATGTAAAGATACAATGCACCAATGAAACAGGAAGAAGGTCATTTTCGCCATTGCGTGACGTGATTTCCGTCCCATAAACCTGTGACGTTCACATCACTTCCACTTTTCATGGTTCGATCTAAACAAAGGCGAGCTTGTGGAATTTAGGTAACACCAAGGTAAGTGAAGCGCTCAGACGGTCACTCCAATCACCGCACGTGCGCAGGGCGTTCGCAGTAACGTATTTCCTTGACTTCTTAAACATCCTATGGTTTTGGGTGGCATCTTGTCAGTGTTGATGTTAGGTGAGGTTCTCTAATCGTTGTATGGTCAGCTCAGGATAATTTGAATTATGTCATACATGTACCGGTATTTAAATGCAATACTCGACATTTTTGTCCATTTAATGTCTTTTCCCACACACACACCTACAGATGAAGTCGTATCTATTATGGATAGTGGCATCTATTATATTATATTGTCCTTTGCATATCTACCGTCGAGAACATGATCCATATCCACGACTTTGTCATTACAGGGCATCCAATGACCATCCTATTGTATATTTTGATTTTTTTTTATTCACTAGATATCCTGCTTAAATGATATCCACATTTATAAGGTTATTTTCAATAACATGTTCAATGCCTTATGGATGTTAACACCACCCCCCCCACACACACACACACACTCCCCCCCCCTTTTTTCCATCAAACAGTGTGTCAATTATAAAACTGATTTCCCGTATTAATGACTTCGTCCACACAGCATATCCACTATGGCGCATCCGAGGCCGGACATACCAAGTGGATTGTTGGGGTCGAAGCCTAGTTTTAGCGAGCTCAAGCTCCAGACTGACTCCCACAGGAACTCCGAGTTCAAACTTGAAGGGGTCAACAATGTGGTGATCAGAATCAAAACTGGGGTACCCATCAAGGTAAGAGAATTAATACCAGGTGTCTGCCACATGATGAAAAAAAAAAAAAACCTGCAACCTACGGTAATGTGTGGATTTTTTCAAGTGGTTTGAAGATGACTGTAACTTTGGAGTACTCCAGCATGAACTCCGAGTTCAAACTTGAAGGGGTCAACAATGTGGTGATCAGAATCAAAACTGGGGTACACATCAAGGTAAGAGAATTAATACCAGGTGTCTGCCACATGATGAAAAAAAAAAAAAACCTGCAACCTACGGTAATGTGTGGATTTTTTCAAGTGGTTTGAAGATGACTGTAACTTTGGAGTCTAAGATTTATCTACACGTATTATTTTGTTCTACAGCCTTGCATTACTTCCACTGGACATGGATGTTGTGTCGATTTATACAAAATATGGACCAGCTTGCATTCATTTACTGGACATGGATGTTGTGTCGGTTTATACAAAATATGAACCAGCTTGCATTCATCTACTGGACATGGATGTTGTGTCGGTTTAACAAACAATATATACCAGCTTTCACACAAGCCATAAAGTTGAAATCAGTCAGGTTACCTAACCTCGTCAAGTCTAGTCACCTTTCAAATTTTGACACAGATCTCTTGTGATCCTATTTGAAAGGCTCTCATTTCTAAGAGCATCTGTCTAATAAATATTATGCCTTGCAAGTCTTCAGAAATCAAGACCTTAGACGACTAATTATAACGTGTTAAGGTTACTCTGGGAAATATCGTTGACCTCCCAACAAATAGACCAGTACCGTAGCTAAGGGGGGGGGGGTCCAAATTCGCAAGTCCCCCCGGGCCCCTACTTGAGGGGGGGCCCCCCGAAGGAGTCTCCGAATTTTTTTTTTACATTAAATAATGTCGAATGTCAAAATGCAGGGGCCCCTAAAGCGGCCAAGCCCCCCGGGCCCCCAAATCCCTAGCTACGCCACTGAAATAGACTATATTTGATAATGACACGTCTTGGATTATATTACGTTGCGTTTTGAACTAATGTCTTGTACTTGAAATAAAGATACATATTTTTTAATCTAATCTTGGTGATTTAACAATGATAAGCTAGGCGAACCTTTTACTTCACTCAGCAAATAGTTTATTTTGTAGTTCATAATTTGTTGTTTAGTAACAGGATGCACCAATCATGTATTAGTAATAAACGGTGAAATTTTTACAGACTATTTTTTTTAGAAATGTATTTGAGTCGGAACAATTTTATTTTTTTCCAGCAGGCTTCAATATAAATTATTTTCCCAATAATAAGAATGGTTAAATTAAAAAAAATTGCATCCTATCCTTAGCTCCAGGGACGTAACTGTGCTCACCGAAGTAATCCCGTAAAGAGGCGAATGTCATCGGCCATTGTTTTGATATTTCTTTAAATTTCAGACCGTGACACAGCTCATCGAGTGCTCGACCGAAACGGAACACCCCACCCACGTGCTGGTCCAGCGGAAGGACAAGGAGGCGGTCCACTTCCACGTCGCGTTCCCCAGCAACGGCTGGTTCAAGTTCCTCATCTTCGCCCTGCAGGAGGAGGACCCCAGCGACTCGTTGCCGAACGTCTACAACTACCTGATCAGCGCCGAGCAGGTGATTCGACCGGCCAAGCCCTACCCGGCCATGTACTCGAAATTCTACAACGACTGCTGCTTCCTGTACGAGCCGATGGTCCTCAACATGAACTCGAAGCACCTGAACAGCGTCAAGTTCAGCCTGGTCGTGCCCGAGGCGCTGAAGGTGGCGCTCCACGTCATGGACGAGTGGTTTCACCTGGAGAAAAACGGGGATCGGTTCGAGAAGACCGTGGACCTGTCCCCGTACAAAGAGAAAGGGACGACGATACAAGCCATGGCGTCGTACGAAGCCCAGGGCACGAGATACGCCGCACTCCTTGAGTACACCATGTAGATAATGCGCCGCACTCCTGCAGTACACTATGCCGATACGCCTCCTATCCAGGCTCCACATCCAGTGGGAATGAAGAGTGGTTTCGTTCCTTGTTTTGTTTTTTTCAAAGAAAGGGTTTCCCACCGGTCTTGACTTTAAATAAAAAGTGCGGGGGGGGGGGGGGGGGGGGG